TAATGATTATGAGCTTTCATGAGTGTAGTTACACGTATATGATTTGAACTGAACACTCATCTAATATTATTGCCATAATTAGTCATTGTTTTTCAACTTTTTGGAGGCAAGGCACTTTGTTTTTTTCAATTGAAACCCAACGAGGCACTCCACGGCAGCCAATGTAACAATTATAATTCATGACTTAAAAATGACTTTAAAATATAGGCCTGTTTGTCTCTCCCTGCTCCTTACGGTGAAAAAGTGAAATGTCATATGCAAAGAGGGCCATAACAGAGGGCCATCTTGAGTTTTTCGCTATACTACAGTACAGTTAACCCAACACAAACTCTACCCTTTTCAATTGGAACGCCTGGCGGATGGGGCTGGGATGATGCTGTCAAATATTGTTACTGAGATTTACATGAGTGTAGTTACGTACGTATATATGATTTGATTGTACAATCCACTCAACTCATATTTGCCCTACTTAAGTCATTGTTTTTAACCTTTTGGAGGAAGGCACTTTGTTTTTTTCATTGAAACACCACGAGGCACACCACAGGCAGAACATGTAAAACAATATAGTTCATGACTTAAAAATGACTTTAAATATAGCCTGTTCTGTCTCTCCACCTGCCTCCCTCTACTGGCTGAAACGTGAAATGCTCATATGCAAATGAGGGCCATTCCCAGAGGGCCATCTTGAGTTTCTTCGCTATACCTAAAGCTACAGTTAACCCCCAAACCAACCCCCAAAACCCTAACCCTAACCCTTTAACCTTTTTTTAAATTGGAACGCCCCTGGCGGATGGGGCTGGGAATCTGTCAAAATTGTTATGAGCTTTCATGAGTGTAGTTACCGATATATGATTTGAATGATCACATCCACTCATCTCATATTGCGCCTACTTAGTCATTGTTTGTTCACCTTTTGGAGGTGTCAATGGCACTTTTGTTTTTTTCTTTGAAAACACAACTGTGGGCACTCCATCAGGCAGAACATGTATAAACAATATAGTTCATGACTTACTAATGACTTTTAAATATTGGCCTGGTCTGTCTGATACCACTGCACCCTCTTCTGGCTGAAACGTGAAATGCTCATTTGGCAAATATGAGGGGCCATTCACTAGAGGGCCATTCTTTGAGTTCTTCGATATACTACAAGCTACAGTTAACCACAACCCAAACCCAAAACCCTAACATTAACCCTTTTTAAATTGAAACGCCCCCTGGCGGATGGGGTGGGAAAAATGCTGTCAAATATTGTTTCCTGAGCTTTAATGAGTGTGTTAAATCGGATTATTTGATTTGAACTGAACACAATCTCACTCAAACTCATATTGCCATACTTACGTCATTGTTGTTTCAACCTTTTGGAGTCAAGGCACTTTTTTTTTTTCATTGAAAACACAACGAGGAACAACATCAGGCAGAACATGAAAACTTTTTAATTCGATGTCTTAAAAATGGACTTGTATTATAGACTGTTCTGTCTATCACACCTGCTCCCTCTACTGGCCTGAAAGTTGAATGCTCATATGCAAATGAGGGCCTTTCCCGAGGGGCCCTCTTGCGTTTCTTTTCGCTAATACCTACAGCTACTGTGTAACCCACACACCCACACCCCCCAACCCATACCCTACCCTCATGCCCTTTTTTCAATGGGAACGCACCCTGGCGGATGGGGCTGGGAAATGCTGGTCATATATATGTTACTGCGCATGTCTTCGAGTGTAGTTACACGTATATAGGATTTGAACTGAACAACATCCACTTCTACTCATTTTGCCCTATTAACGTCATTGTTTTTCAACCTTTTTGGAGTCATAGGCACTTTTTTTTTTCAATTGAAAACACCACGAGGAACACCAAAGGCAGAACTTGTTAAAACAATATAATGCTTGACTTATAATTTGACTTTATTTATAAGGACTGTTCTGTATTTCCACATGACTCCCTTACTGGCTGAAACGTGAAATGTCATATGCAAAATGGAGGGGGCCATTCCTCAAGGGCATTCTTGGGAGTTTCTTTCGCCTATACCTACAGTTCAGTTAACCCCTAACCCCATCCCACAAATCCCCTACCTAACCCTACCCCTTTTTTTATTTGGAACGCCCCCTGGCGGTATGGGGCTGGGGAAAGAAATGCTGTCAAATATGTTAACTGACGCTTTCTTGAGCTGTTGTTTACAAGATATATGTTTTGAACTGAACAATTCCACTCAACTCTTATTGCACTACTTACGTCATTGTTTTTCAATCTTTTTGAGGCCAAGGCACTTTTTTTTTTCATTGAAAACTCCCCGAGGCACACCACAGGCAGAACATGTAAAACATAATAGTTCATGACTTAAAAATGACTGTTAAATATAGCCTGTTCTGTCTCTCCACCTGCCTCCCTCTACTATGGCTGAAACGTGAAATGCTCATATGCAAATGGAGGGCATTCCAATGAGGGCCATCTTGAGTTTCTTCGCTATACATACAGCTACAGTGAACCCCATCCCCAACCCCAAATCCCTAACCCTAACCTAACCTTTTTAAATTGGAAAGCCCCCTGGCGGATGGGGCTGGGAAATGCTGTCAATTATGTTTCTGTGAACTTTTCTTGAGTGTAGTTTACACGTTATATGATTTGAACTGTACACATCCACTCAATCTCATATTGCCTCCTTCGTCATTGTGTTTTTCAACCTTTTTGGATGTCAAGGCACTTTTTTTTTTTTCATTGAAAAACACCAAGTAGGACACCACAGGCTGAACTTGTTAAAAAAACAATTAATTCATGATTGAAAGGACTTTAAAATATAGACTGTTCTGTCTCTCCACTGCCTATACTACTGCCTGGATAATCGTGAAAATGCTCATATGCAAATGAGGGCACATTCGGAGTCTCTCTCTGGTCTCTCTCTGGTCTCTCTCTGGTTTCTCTCTGGTCTCTGTAGTCTCTCTCTGGTCTCTCTCTGGTCTCTCTCTCTCTGGTCTCTCTCTGGTCTCGCTCTGGTCTCTCTCTGATCTCTCTCTGGTCTCGCTCTGGTCTCTCTCTGGTCTCTCTCTCTCTGGTCTCTCTCTGGTCTCTCTCTGGTCTCTCTCTCTCTGGTTCTCTCTCTGGTCTCTCTCTGGTCTCGCTCTGGTCTCTCTCTGATCTCTCTCTGGTCTCGCTCTGGTCTCTCTCTGGTCTCTCTCTCTGGTCTCTCTCTGGTCTCTTTCTCTGGTCTCTCTCTCTGGTCTCTCTCTGGTCTCTCTCTGGTCTCGCTCTGGTCTCTCTGGTCTCTCTCTGGTCTCTCTCTGTAGTCTCTCTCTGGTCTCTCTCTGGTCTCTCTCTGGTCTCTCTCTGGTCTCTCTCTGGTCTCTCTCTGGTCTCTTTCTGGTCTCTCTCTCTGGTCTCTCTCTCTGGTCTCTCTCTGGTCTCTCTCTGGTCTCTCTCTGGTCTCTCTGGTCTCTCTGGTCTCTCTCTCTGGTCTCTCTCTGGTCTCTATCTGGTCTCTCTCTGGTCTCTCTCTCTCTGGTCTCTCTCTCTCTGGTCTCTCTCTGGTCTCTCTCTGGTCTCTCTCTCTCTGGTCTCTCTCTGGTCTCTCTCTGGTCTCGCTCTGGTCTCTCTCTGATCTCTCTCTGGTCTCGCTCTGGTCTCTCTCTGGTCTCTCTCTCTGGTCTCTCTCTGGTCTCTCTCTGGTCTCTCTCTGGTCTCTCTCTGGTCTCTCTCTCTGGTCTCTCTCTGGTCTCTCTCTGGTCTCTCTCTGGTCTCTCTCTGGTCTCTCTCTGGTCTCGCTCTGGTCTCTCTGGTCTCTCTCTGGTCTCTCTGTAGTCTCTCTCTGGTCTCTCTCTGGTCTCTCTCTGGTCTCTCTCTTGTCTCTCTCTGGTCTCTCTCTCTGGTCTCTCTCTCTGGTCTCTCTCTGGTCTCTCTCTGGTCTCTCTCTGGTCTCTCTCTGGTCTCTCTGGTCTCTCTCTCTGGTCTCTCTCTGGTCTCTCTCTGGTCTCTCTCTGGTCTCTCTCTCTCTGGTCTCTCTCTGGTCTCTCTCTCTCTGGTCTCTCTCTGGTCTCTCTCTGGTCTCTCTCTCTCTGGTCTCTCTCTGGTCTCTCTCTCTCTGGTCTCTCTCTGGTCTCTCTCTCTCTGGTCTCTCTCTGGTCTCTCTCTGGTCTCTCTCTCTCTGGTCTCTCTCTGGTCTCTCTCTCTCTGGTCTCTCTCTGGTCTCTCTCTGGTCTCTCTCTCTCTGGTCTCTCTCTGGTCTCTCTCTGGTCTCGCTCTGGTCTCTCTCTGATCTCTCTCTGGTCTCTCTCTGGTCTCTCTCTGGTCTCGCTCTGGTCTCTCTGGTCTCTCTCTGGTCTCTCTGTAGTCTCTCTCTGGTCTCTCTCTGGTCTCTCTCTGGTCTCTCTCTGGTCTCTCTCTGGTCTCTTTCTGGTCTCTCTCTCTGGTCTCTTCTCTCTGGTCTCTCTCTGGTCTCTCTCTGGTCTCTCTCTGGTCTCTCTCTGGTCTCTCTGGTCTCTCTCTCTGGTCTCTCTCTGGTCTCTCTCTGGTCTCTCTCTGGTCTCTCTCTCTCTGGTCTCTCTCTGGTCTCTCTCTCTCTGGTCTCTCTCTGGTCTCTCTCTGGTCTCTCTCTCTCTGGTCTCTCTCTGGTCTCTCTCTCTCTGGTCTCTCTCTGGTCTCTCTCTCTCTGGTCTCTCTCTGGTCTCTCTCTGGTCTCTCTCTGGTCTCTCTCTCTCTGGTCTCTCTCTGGTCTCTCTCTCTCTGGTCTCTCTCTGGTCTCTCTCTGGTCTCTCTCTCTCTGGTCTCTCTCTGGTCTCTCTCTGGTCTCGCTCTGGTCTCTCTCTGATCTCTCTCTGGTCTCTCTCTGGTCTCTCTCTGGTCTTTCTTTGGTTTCTCTCTGGTCTCTCTCTGGTCTCAAACATTTTGATTCTCTGATCAGTTATTGGTGACTCCACAACTTTGTAAACTCCTCTCAGACGTCTACATGGTATTGATTGACAGCGGGGTAACAAGTCCCGCCTCCCTGTCCCGCAGACTCCTCGGGGCGC